GTCATTGCAAACTTGTTGTTTGAGAGTCTGCCTCACTTTTCCTGTGGGAGTAAGAATAAAGTAGTATGGATAAATAAAATACAATTTGTTCAGTTAAGTAATTTGCATATAGGTTTTTGGAAAACAGCTCAACCATTAGAATAAATAGGGAGCATCTCTGCAGGGTCTGGACTTTGACTGGACCATATCCCCCTATTAATGTGCTTTGATCTAAACCCTTTCTTGGTCTCAATACTATTGCTACCTTTAAAACAAGTTTTCTTCCATCTACTATGGTTCCTGCCTAACTAAGACATCCTGACAGAATGATAGTGCCACCACCGTGCTTTACAGTGAGAATGGTGAGTTCAAAGTGATGTGCAGTAATAGATTCCCTCCACACCATTTATTTTGGATAATGTTCAAATTTGATCTCGTCTGACCACATCTCCTCCTTCCATATTGTTGCTGCATCTACCTAAACGATGGGTGAAAAAAAAAAATGCAACCACCCACAACCTTTCAATACTTTTACAGTCATGCCACTTTTCCTTGGACAACAGATTTATGTAGTGCAAAAATATCATTTTTAGATTTTATAGTCCCACATGAGCCGGAAATCTCTAAAGCTTCTCTAAAGTTTCCATTATCTTCTTGGTTGCTCGTCTAACCGATGCTGTCCTTACTAGGTTTTTGCAGGTTTGTAGGGGTGTCATAATTTCAGAAATGGATTTCCCCCAGCCACTCTTCCATAAAGTCCAGATGTCTGGAAATCATGGCTAAAAGCAGTCCGGTTAGCATATTTTCCAAGATCTTATAGGATCTTAGCAGTTGCTTCAGTGATACCATCATCCTCCTGGTTGACTCTCAGATTAATGTTCTCCTTCTCCTTCCTGTCAGTTTAGATGCACAGCAATATCTTGGAAAGTCTGAAGAGAAAAAGTAGAGTTTCATACTTCAACACAGCTAAAGAAGTAGGATTTTTTTCTCCACACCTTTCAGATGTGTTCCTTGCTCTCCATGGGGAAGCTTGCTCAGTAAAGTTCTGTTGGATAACTCTAAAGACTTCACAGATCATGGGGAGTCATGGCCTAGTGGTTATAGAATTACGCTTGGAATCCAGAGGTTCCACTCTGACTCCCTGAGCAATGACCCTTAACCCCACACTGCTCCCTGGGCGCCGCACAATTGCAGCCCACTGCTCCCCAAGGGGATTGGTTAAAAGCAGTGAATGAATTTTGTTGCTCTGTACTTGTGACAGTCTAATGACAATAAAAGCTGAAAAAAGAAAAACCAAATAAAACAAAACAAAAAGATCTGAAGTGGACGGCAAGGTAACATTTGATGGTACTGGGTTAAACTTTATTTAGATGCATCCGACAAGAGCGGTTAGAACAGAATTGCACAAATATTTTGGGAATTTATAGTGTATATATATATATATATATATATATATATATATATATATATATATATATATATATATATATATATATATATGTAAACCATGTGTCTCTTTTCTCTAATGTACCGGTACTATTGTCCATTATTCATGTGAATCCAACAATCTACAGTAAGTTTGATGTTTGATGGTATTAATGTAACAAAAAGTTAACCTTTTCAGATAATACTGTTGTAAAGCTCCGTAAACATAACAATAATGAAATCATAATCACTCATTTTAATTTTTAATGGTTTTGTTCAAGTAATGTGTAGATAGCACATTGCGGAAAGTTCTGAGACAATAAAATATCAACTGTTAGATTCAGAAATTCTAAAGGTTATTTATTACATTGTTTGGAGGGAGTAGCTGAAAAGTGCAGCTTTACAACAGCTTTTTATGATCTTGTTTGTTTTTTGTTTTTTTTTTACCTCTGAGGAACTCACCTCTTGTAAGGGTTCTGATTGAGTAAGACAAGGGTGACACCTGGTGGTAGAGCATGGACCTACAGCGAGTGTTTTAGTAAAGAGCTGTTCTAACGAAAAAAATAAGCAAAGCGCAAATTAATATGAAGATTGAAGCTTTTTGATATATTTAGTTTTTATTATAAGATTCCAAAGTGTAACACTTGCCCCTTGAATAAAGTGAAGATACAGTAAGCGTTGATCTAGAGTATTTAAAAGATTACTAGGAACTCTGACTCCTTGGCTAGAAAATCTCACTAAAACATTAGAAATAGTTTTTAACCAACACTTTGCTTAAAACTTTGCTCTGTTACAGCTATTACTTACTGGTAAAAGTGAATATTAAGCTTTAAATCAGATCCACTAAAGAACAGAGAGGCAAAGTCGGCAAAGTTTGATACTTTAAGATAACATTTTTTACTGTATTTTTCAGTATAAATCAATCTGACTGTGTTTAAAAATGAATATTTCTCATCCTGAGCAAGAAGCTTTGAAAAAAAAAAAACTGGTTAAGCACTAGTATGGTTATATAAAAGAGCCAAAAAAAAGGCTCCATGAATCTGGGAAAAAATTAGACTAGAGCAAGAGTCTGGCTGCAGACCTGCACTGTCTGGACCCTTTATTGCAGAGCTGCAAAATGGGGTCTCCTGCCCTCTCAGGACTGGAAGTTTATTTCCTAAGTTATATTCGAAGCCCTCAGGAACAGCGTGCAGCAGTTATTTGCTGCTGGAGTTAATGACAGTGTTAACTGAGCATAGGAGCAGTTTAAATTATACAATAAGCAAAAATCCTCATATGGCAGCCAACCTCCATTGTTGTTTAGAAAATGTCTTTTAGCCCAAATTCCCTTTTCCATCCAGTGATCTAAATGTAGAGACTTGTTTATATATAGCACATATCTATTATTCCAGATAGGAGTTGGGTGGGGAGTAAAATTGTGCATGTACATTAGTTACCAGCGTAACAACACTCTTTTGTGAAAGGAAGCAAGCTTCACTGGGAGTTTATCAACTCTAGCTTTTACTTTAGAAAGGCTTAAAATCAACTTCATTTTTACTTTGAAAGTCTTCGAATAAAATTCTGGTTCTAACAGTGCAGGAGACCTCACAGTGCAGGTCAGCAGACAGGGTCCTAACAGTGCAGCTCTGAGTCCTGACAGTGCGGCTCTGCAGCCAGATGCATTTTGACTAGAGAGGAATAATATGTAAGGTTGTTAATAATTAAAAATGTGGTACATTACATTTCCCCAGTCTAGTCTAACCAGAAGTGTATTGTCATTTGTATAAACCTATAAAAAGCCTGAAGATCTATGTTATGTACATTTTTTAAAGGTTTGGGGAAATATATTCTTTTAATTACCGTCTTTTTCTTCTTCTTCTTTTTTTTTTTTTTTTTTTTTTTTTTTTTTTACAAAGGAGACTAACACTTCCACTAACAGATTATTATTATAGTTGATTAGATTATGTTTAATAGGTCAAAAAAATAGGCATACAATTTGTCAAGAAGTTCTGCTAAATATTAATTTCTAACCCTGTAAATTAATTGTTTTTATCAATAGTTATTCAAAATAAAGTATAAAATAAAATTAAAAGTAATTAAGCTAATAAAGCTGTTTCAAAAGATAACGTTCAGAGAGGAGGCTAAATAAACCTGCCTTAGCAGACAGTGCTACAGCCTATAAGGTGAAAACGCCTCAGCTTCTACAGTTAATCTTCAGGTAATCACACACTCACACAAAACAAAGCTGCTCCTATTGCTTTTTTTATTGTCTACAAGGATTCTCAGCAAACAGACCAACACTTGTGCCAAAATCCAAAAAGGGGACCTGGAAATCAATTCTATCACACATATTAACAGGTTGATTTAAAAAAAAAAAAAAACGCCAAAGCAAGCCCCACCTCAGCTCCAGTTTCCACAGCAACCAAACAAGTCACTGCTTAGCATCCAAAGGTAACTAAATTACAATTGTGGTTCCTTCATCTTGGCACAAAACAACAGTAGCAGATATGCAGGCGAGGGGCAAAAGAAAAAAAAAAAAGTCATCATTTGAATATATTTAAAGCTGCTTTGAGACCAGATGTCAGGGAAATGTCCAAAATGCATCTTTGTCAACAACAAAGTAAAAGACGGTGGACTAAACCATGAGGTACACCAGAAATAGAGACAGCAGCTAAAAAAACAAGATCCATGTTTTTAGTTCAAGGCTACAATTTCAGTTGAAACAATTAAAACAAGCTAGAACCACCAGGAAACTATTTCACTATTCTAAGTTCATTTAATAATAATTTGTTTTTGACTGAACCCTTAAGTCACAGAACTGCCTGGTTTTCAAATCACATTAGCACACAAATGGCAAAATGTGAGAGATTATACTAAAAGGAAAAAAAAGGTTTTGTTATGTGTAAACTACATAGAATATGACACCAAACAGAAGAATAAACTCAGCTTCACTTAAAGTATAGTCAAGGATTTTGACAAAGTTTTGAAAAAAAACAACCATAACCCCGTGCACATGCACAACCCTGTGCCTGCTGAGAGGGAACGCTTATTAAACATGTGCGAGAGCATGCACCAGCCCATTGTTTTCGTCGTGCATCGCTCATACAAGCTTACTTTCCAAAAGAAGATTTGTAATTTTTCCACTATATCAGACTCACCATAGGTAAGTGAAAATGGGGACGAGCACGTAGGACGGCCTTACGTAAACTTATCACCAGAATGATTGACAATAAGGAGGACCACTTATTTTGATGATCCACCTGAAAAAAGAACATTCTCCACTATAACTTGGAGTTAGCCTTTCTCTCTCTAGATCAGTATCTTTCATACCTTTTACTTTTCCTACAAAATTGTCTGTTTCTTATTTAATATTTCTAATAAAAGACACTGAGAAGAGACATCATAACATCTGAGACCACAGGAAGGTTGAACTATAGATTTTTGTTACAGATGTCATAATTATTAAACAAAAACTGCTTGTTTGAAGCTTGAAATTTTGTTTTTTGTGACAAAGAAATATTTGGTGTATTCCTTCTACTTATTGAGAGGAGGAATTTGAAGTAGTGACTTCTAATATAAGTCTTAAATTTCCTATTCCTCTGATCTTACTCAGCAGCTTTACTTTAATCCAACATTAGAGACAGCTTTAATCTTCATAAAACCAACAGAAGGTTGATAAAAACTTAAAAAATAGAATAGATTACTGTAGTTTAAATAATGACTGATTTGAATTTAGAGACAAATCCCGGACATCTGGTCCAATGCAAATTATTATAGAGACAACAATAACAGAGATTAAGAACAAAATAAAAGGAGAGGGAAAAAAGAAGTTTCTGTCCAGCTGCTTTTATCCCCCCATTTTCGGTCTGAGCGGGACAGCAAGGCCAAACTTTAGTTTGAAAATTAAGAGTTTAAAACCAGGAAAGGTAAGGCATCCCACCCTGGGACAGAAACTTATTTTTTTAGTCCTTTGGAGAAACTTCAACATATCAAATTTATTGCATTTCTAAACTCTTTTTAGAAAAAAAAAAAATGAAAAAATATCTACAGTATATTTATCTAAAGTGGTGTTTTTGCTTGTGTAAATATATAAGTGGTAGATATTTATAATGAATCTTGATGGTGAGGCTGCAGTTCATCCACAAGGAGGCAGAAGAAGCATAGAATTGCACTAGGACAGAAAAAAGCTGTTTAATATTGAACTCAGTTTTAAAATCATACAAAAGGAGTGAAAAAGGGGAAATTAAGGCGCCACAGACTTGTTTGAAGGACTTTCAGTTCAGATACATCAGAATAAATAACTTTTTCCTCCATGAAGGTGAATTCTAAATACATGATTAACTGAGCTGCAGAGGTGAATATGTTCAGGTATGAAGAGAGGAGAGAAAAGATAAACATGGCAGCTGTTCTGATCCGCTGGATTTGTTTATTTTTTTTTTGTTTTTTTTTCTCAGATGTTATTAAAGCACTACAAACTAATGGTGCGCGCCGCCGGCCGCACGCTCAGCTTCATTGTCTCTAATGCAGCAGTGCGCTACGTGGAACTAACCATGTACACAAACAAAAACCCCTCGATGCCGGCTAAAACATCTGCATAGCGACAAAAAAAAAAAAAAAAAAAGAATAAAAAAATTTATCCCAAAATAAATAATCACAGAAACAGATCACATCTGAGCCTTTTCAACTCAAACGGTGGCTACTGCTTCCTCTAAAAGATTATATTGAAAGAGTTTTAATGCAAGATTTTTGTTATTACTTTTTTTGTTTGTTTGCGATTTTTCTTTTTTAGAAAAAAAGAAAAAAAAAAAAAAGAAATGTGTTTTCTTCTTGAAGCTCGGTCTCTACTTCCTCCGGGTACAGCGATGATGTCAGAGCAGCGGGTTAGTCGTCGTCTTCGTCGACTACAGGATCCGTGTCCCAGCAGGTGATGTCAATCTCTAAACCAACACAAACAAACGAGGCGGGTTTTATTCTCTTCAGAAGAAAAAGTTTTAATAGAATAAACTAACTTCCATTCATCCAATCAGCATAAATAAACACTAGCTCAGAGTAACACTAACACTTCTGTAAAGTTAGCTATAAACACACTGAATGTTGTAAAGAGGAAAAGATTGATCAAACCTGGAGGCTTGTTATAAAACACAGGTGCTGGCTTAGCTGATGACTCCTCTGATTGGCCGAATTCTTCCTCCTGTGATTGGCTGAAGTAGCCCTCACTGGCCTAGAATCAGAGAGGAGGAAACACCAAAGATAATCAAACCAAACCTTAAAGAAACTTTGAAAATCATCAGCAGTTTGAACTCCTGACCTGAGTTCCTTCCTTCAGCAGCGTCTCCCCATTGGTCATCAGTAGCTGTACGTCATCCGGATCCTGCCCCGCCCCAGAAGCGTGCTGCAGTGCGTGTTGGTAGCTGAGGGTCATCTGGTCAGACCCCGACACGTCCACCAGACTGGTGGGGTCGTCCTCGGCGACGGTGCCTGAGCAGAAGCTCCCGTCCATCGTCTCATCGAAGCTGAGAAGAGGCTGAGGCCTGCCGCTGCCGGCGGCCATGCTTGGCGCGACGTCGTCGTGAAGAACATCGCTGTCTCCCATCAGGTCCACCAGATTAGACGAGTGGGTGGATGGGATGGGGTCGGTGGCAGGGGCGGAGCTGCTATCCCACAGGTCAACAAGGTTGTCCGTCCCGGAGTCCCACGCAGAAACACCAGAGGGTTCCCGGGCCTGTGGGGCAACACTCTGCACAGGCTTGGTGGGCGCCGACTCCTGGACGGGCCGTTTCTGTTCTTCTTTTGGTACAGAATCTGAAAAAAAAGACAAATGTGAAAACAAATTATCTTCAGGTCAGTTTTGTTTTTCAAATTTATTTTCACACTTTTAGTGTGAATAAAACATTTTAAATTTAGGAAACCAAAAGAAATTGGAACTATGAAACAAATAATTTAGAACACATCCTTCCCTTTGTCTTTTAATGTGGATGAGATTTATTGAGATAATTTGAATAGAATTTAAAATCCTCCTTCTCACACATAAAGCCTTAAATTGTCAAGCTCCATCTTACATCAGAGATATGATTATCCTTATGTTTCTCACAGAGAACTTTGTTCTTAATCTGCAGGTTTACAACATGTAGTTGTTCCTAGAATTTCTAAAGTAGAATAGGAGGCAGATCTTTTAGTCATCAGGCTCCTCTCCTGTGAAACCAACTACCATTAGTCCATGAGGCAGACATCCTCTCTACATTTAACGGTAGGCTTAAACCTGTTTGATAAAGCTTATAGAGTGCTTACTGTAGGTTATCCTGAGCTATCTCTATAGTAATGCTGCTATAGACTTAGACTGCTGGAGGACATAGGGACTACTTTTAATCATTCTGCTCAACTTTCTCCCATTCTGAAGTATTTGTTATTTCAACCTCTTTTATGCTCTCTCTGCTTTTTTTTCAAAGCAGCTTAATCTGGTCTGTTCCTGTTTGACTGTGGCGCCATCAAGGAGAGAAAATATCAGCTGTGCTGCTGTCATCAACAACTTCGTTTATAGATGCTGGAATCTGGCCTGTTTTTCAGTGTAGTCCTGTTTCTCTTACTCAATGAGTCGATAGCAATCAATTGGTTTTTCCACAGACAAAAATTTGAACCAATCTGACTGTGTGATCCTGTCCAAATGTCTCTGCAAAGTACCTTGAGAAGACATGTGTTGTGAACTGGTGCTATATAAATAAGCTAAATAGAGCTGACTTGTGGAAAAAGCAGAAAAAGCTTTGCTACAGGTTTCCAACAAAAGGTGACCCTTGATGGAAGCAGTTAACAGTCAGTGTTAGGCTCTGCTTGTTTTTTGATCGTTCTAGAATTAGGAATGCTAACTTTCTGGTAAGCTTTGCCAAACTGAGTTTCTACCAATGAATAATTTAGCTTCCCACAGGGTTTCCCTGACTATACTACATTGGTTGGAGACTTCATTATGCACCAATATTGTATTATCTGAGCAAGGGGAATGAAATTCTTACCCCACTCTTCCTCTCTGTGGTCTTCCTCCTCCCTGTTAAAGTCTTCTTTAATTGGTGTAGTGACTATTTTAGGGATGGGTGAAACAGCGGCCATGTTTCTGTCTAAGCTCACTTCATCATCATTGTCACCTGCAGGAAAAAAGTGGATAAAAAATGGCAGGAAAACAAAGTTAATTAGATTATATATGACACATAAACAAAAGGTGTTGAACTAACACAGGCAATGCCTCCTATACGTCTTCTGGTATATTACAACTGAGAGGGATATTATCTTAGGCTGCAATTATCCTTGATATGAGGTATGATGTGGAGCATAAAGCAAATCAACCGATACATAAAACTCACAGATGATAAAAACAGAGCATTTTAAAGATGCCATGATTATTTCCCCTGAAAATTCATACATTTTCAATTCAGGGTTCAAATGAATTTGTTACTGGGATGGTTTAAACACAGAGAACCATCATAAAGGGTTCTGTAGTGCCGCTTTAGAACATTGAGTAAGCCATAAAAGGGTGTAGCTTCAATTATGCTTCAATTTTTCAACAACTCATTCTTCAACTGAGGGACAAGATGTGATTCAACTTTGATGATAGAGCATCACCAATTTAGGGTAAAGACCTATAGTACTATTTCTTAGCCTCTGAAAAAGATAGTGTTCATCTTTTTTGGGAAAATTGCAGCTTTTGTTGCTTCATTTAGAACAAAATCTAGGCAAGAATTCACAAGTTAAAGGACTCAAAGCTTTGGTGTATATTCTCAGCCATCTGAGAGATGACAATTCTCTATGTGCTAAACCATAAGACAGCTTGATTTCTTCTTATGTTTCATCTCTCATTGTCAGTTCTGAACAAGGCTGGTGTTTTTGAAAAGAAGAGTGAAGGAAGAAATCTCTTTAAGCCTGAAAAACTAAAACTACAGTCGCTTTTATTTGCAGTGAGGCTTTACTCAACTCTCTTGCACTTTTACAGCCCTTTACCTCTTGAGACGCGACAAAAAAACCACACATCTGCATAGCATAGGTAGGTTAAATGCTTGTATCGTCCAGTGACAGCAGAGTCAGAAAAGAACCAAATGGACCAGTGATAAAAGGAATTTGATAAACCTTAAAGTTGTTGGGAAGCGGCTGTTCCAACTGTTGCATTTTCCATGTTGAATTCTCCCGAGTGGTGCACGACTTTATACGAGTTAATAAAGTGAATGTGATTGGTCGATTATCAAGGGGACGGGATTGTTGTGGCGGAAGGTTTGCAAGCCTTTTGGTTGTGGCCGGTGCCTCGGAAACATCTAACCAGCTAACCAGTTAGCAACTTAGTGCTAGAAGGTTCCCAATAGGAAATTACATTGGAACCAAGTAGCACTTAGCAACGACACTGTCAAGGAACGCTATGGACAGCGGAAACATGCAAGAGGAGGAGAGTTTTGTGTCGGAGGTCGTGGATGAGTTATTATTTCAACCATTGCGTATATTAGCTGCGACAAATGATCAAGATGCTATGACCGAAAGAATTTGATTGACAGATGACTGTTGATATATGATTGGCCGAATTTAGGTGTACAAGCTGACGCATAACTAACTGGCCTGCACAATAACGAAACGATGTCACCAAAATATTGAATGTGGCAGAGAGGAGCTATAGAGAGGCTTTACGTTTCAGAGGTAAGATTGAAAAAAAAAAAAAAAAAGTATAACCTGTGATAACGTCATAAAACAAAAACAATAAGCAAACTTTGGAGGAAATATTGTAAATTCCCGCACATCATACTCATCATAATCCTGCAGGGAAACCAGCTAACAAGAAACAAAATATTATTTACTACAAACTAGGGTAAATTACTTAAAATATTTGTACGTTGTAGGTTTCCCAAAGACAAAGCTTTTAAAACGCTAGTTTGAGACAAGGGTTAATCAGTTCAATCTAAACATCTGTGGTTTTTATTTATTACTAAAAAACATGTCACATGTGAATGTTTCAATATCTGGTATAGACACAGATCTACGATTGAATATTAGAGGCGCATATTTCTGAAGAAATAAAGGGATAACTGTTATTATGAGAAAAAAGTAATAGGAATAGAGTAAAAATATAGCAAGTGGTAAAATTATGAGAAAAAAAATCAGGAGAATAAATGTGGAACATAAGCAGAATAGTCATACAGACATTTGCAGAACCAGATCACAGTCCTGAGAATAATCCAGGGCAGAGTATTAGGGTTACAGATGATTTTTTATTAAATTAGGAGATAAGGTTATTAGAAAAATAAAGCAAAAATAATACAACAATAAATTCATAGTATTGCAAAGATGTATTTTAACATAACAAAATAAAGTATATTATGAGATTAGGTGTCTATGACTCTAATAGCAGATCTGCCACATTCAACATGGTGGACATTCAACATGATGGCAGCATAAGGTCCGCCCACCCAATGAGGCGTATTTATGCCTATGATTGGGCCAATGACTGGTTACTTTGCAAAGTAAGTATAAAATATATATAAAAAAAAACACTTAAGACACTTTAATCATTTTTACCTTTAATGTTTAAACCTGAAACTAACATATTAATAGATGGATAATCATCACTATAACTTATAAGGCTGATAACTATAGTTCAGACCTGAGGACCCCCTTTGAAGAACTGACACAGTTAGATGAATAACATAATCATAATCCACTCCACCTTAAAAAATCTAATCTGTTTCACCAGCATACCAAGGAACGCACACATTTTAGAGTTTGTACAAATAAGACTTTTCCAGTGATGTGATTGGTAAACTGGATGGAAGGCTAGATGAATAGATACAGATATTGGACAGCAGTGACGGCATGAGGAAACACCAGTAAATTTCCTGAACTGTTTCTTATTACATGCATATTTTTTTTTCCAGGCCACTGACATCAACATTACCACAGTACAAACTATCACATTCACATTAAATCCACAGAAATGTATCCACTCATGTCAGATATACGCCGATGTCTCCTTAAAATAATTTCAACACAAGAAACCTGAAATGAAAGATTATAATAAAATGGCAGAAAATATTCTTTTCCCTTTTTCTATCAAAAACTAATCTCTACAGATCATTCTAATTACCTTCTTTAATTAATTTACCTTTCATAAACGCATCTGTTTTCAACTGGCAAATTAACTGCCATTTTATTAACTACATCATTGTTGGCCACTTCCCATTAGGAGGCAAAATGTTGCAGAACACACAAACACTTAATTGTGAAAAGTTTAAAGGTAGGTAATGTTTGGTTAATCCACCTTGAGGAACACATTACTATTTGGAAAGTGGTCAACAGAAATGTTGTAGTTATAATAGGTTGGATAAGACACAAAGCTATCAATACTGTGGTCTTTATGTTGACATTCACAAAAAAAACCAAAACTGGATGAACCGCCAAAAAAATCCACCAAGTCCACAGTCAAAAAGCTGCAGACAACTAACAAGATGAGTTAAAATAAAGACTCACAGGTCAGTTGGTCGGTCGGGGTAAAAGGCAGCAGCAGGAATGGGTTTTAGAGAGCGTGTTAGCAGAAAGGTAAGGCAGTCCGCAATCAGCAGCGCAAAATTAAAACAAAAGAAAATGTTCAGAAAGTGAATCAAAGTTGCAAGAAACATTTATAAAATAACTTCACATTAGACCTGACCACATTAAAAGCATGACGGCGACAGCCACTGGAACACGAAAAAAAACACAGAGCTGAAGGTTAATGGCTCTAAAGGACGACTTGCCTTTACCTGGACTGTCCAGTTATAGACGTATTAATTCCCAGTACTTCCTCCTCCGTTATCACACATAGAAGCACTTAATACTCTCTAAAGGTTAATATTCATTATCACATCAAAGCTACTTTAAGGACACATGACTCCTGTTTACAGTAAAAATTCGGCCCCTGCTTTTAAGTCAGAGCAAAGTATTTGTGGCTTTGAAGTGACTGTTAATAATAATCTGTTGTTGGTCCTTTTATTTCTAATCTCTAGACCCTCGCCTGTAAAATATCCTAAAAATCCAACTTTAAAATATTTAATTTCTGCAGGATATCATTAACATATTTTGGGGCCATTTGGGCCAAAATAAGCCAATGGAATCATAAAAAATGTTGTTGTTTTTTTTTTTTGTAGCTGTTAAACACTAAATTTTGCACGTATTAATTCAACTAATCAAAACTGAAATTAGACTTACTGGTAGAAATTAGACAAATGTATAATTTTTGCTCCTAAAACCTAAGAGGTCTTGAAAGCTTTATAATAATTTTAGTCATTCTTGAAAAGAAGAAGAAATATTAGTCATCAGAAATCAAAACAGGATGTGGGTATCTATTTTATCAGAAAATACTTCCTGCATCTAGCCAAGTTAAATGACTTCTAAAAGCAAATATGAATGAAAATGTGGCTATTTGATTAATAAATTGTGTGGTAATTTATGCTTTACATTGTAATAAAGAGTGATATTCTCCCTAATTAAAAAAATACGACATGTCGACCTGCATCAAATGGCATAGCTGGTGACAAAATCGATCTGTTAGCAGGTCGCAAAAAGCCCCGGGCTCCATTTGGGACACATTGATTTAAATGCCAGGGCTGTCAACTCTCCCCCATTGGGAGTGAGACTCCTGCATCTCAGTGTCTTCACACACTCTCACTCCATATCTTCAATTTTTAAAAATAATGACATTAAAACTCAACTCCACTCCACTTATTTATATATAAAAATACCATGCCTATAAAAACCCATGGAAGACGTGCCAGGTTTATACCCAGTCCGTATTTTTGCACCACCTATTAATAGTGGTGACAGCAGCAGAGCTGGACATGAGCCAGATAATGAAAAAAGACCAGGATTTTCTTAGCAGTTATTTAGAGGAACTTATCTGAACAAAAATCACTCACTTTGTAAATTAATGAAGATTTGAAGCAAAGCACTCGAGTAAATATGAATAAAATATACAGCAGCTGGCTTGAATTATCAATGTGGAGACTGAGTGTAGATCACATCAAATGGTTTGTTTTCTCTTCATCTAGTGCTTTTTTTAGTTCACTTTAATCCTTATTTATTTAGCCACCTGATTTACTCCTAGTTTTAGTCCATGTTTTGCTCACAAGATAAATAATTATTGCTCAGTCTAGTTGAATAATCTCCCGTTGGATTTTAGGACTAATTAAACCAACACAAATACAGGTGCTGGTCATAAAATTAGAATATCATGAAAAAGTTGATTGATTTCAGTAATTCCATTTAAAAAGTGAAACTTGTATATTATATTCATACATTACATACAAACTCATATATTTCAGATGTTTATTTTGTTTAATTTTGATGATTACAAATGACAACAAATGAAAATCTCAAATTCATCATATCAGAAAATTAGAATATTGTGAAAAGGTTCAAAATTGATGGCCCCTGGTGCCACACTCTAATCAGCTAATTAACTCAAACCACCTGCAAAAGCCTTTAAATGGTCTTTCAGTCTAGTTCTATAGGCTACACAATCATGGGGAAGACTGCTGACTTGACAGTTGTCCAAAAGACGACCATCGACACCTTGCACAAGGAGGGCAAGACACAAAAGGTCATCGCTAAAGAGGCTGGCTGTTCACAGAGCTCAGTGTCCAAGCACATTAATAGAGAGGCGAAGGGAAGGAAAAGATGTGGTCGAAAAAAGTGTACAAGCAAGAGAGATAACCGCACCCTGGAGAGGATTGTGAAACAAAACCCATTCAAAAATGTGGGGGAGATTCACAAAGAGTGGACTGCAGCTGGAATGAGTGCTTCAAGAACCACCACACACAGACGTATGAAAGACATGGGTTTCTGCTGTCGCATTCCTTGTGTCAAGCCACTCTTGAACCACAGACAGCGTCAGAAGCGTCTTGCCTGGGCTAAAGAGAAACAGGACTGGACTGCTGGTGAGTGGTCCAAAGTCATGTTCTCTGATGAAAGTAAATTTTGCATTTCCTTTGGAAATCAAGGTCCCAGAGTCTGGAGGAAAAGAAGAGAGGCACTTCATCCACGTTGCTTGAAGTCCAGTGTAAAGTTTCCACAGTCAGTGATGGTTTGGGTGCCATGTCATCTGCTGGTGTTGGTCCATTGTGTTTTCTGAGGTCCAGGGTCAACGCAGCCACATACCAGGAAGTTTTAGAGCACTTCATGCTTCCTGCAGCTGACCAACTTTTTGGAGATGCAGATTTCATTTTCCAACAGGACTTGGCACCTGCACACAGTGCCAAAGCTACCAGTACCTGGTTGAAGGACCATGGTATCCCTGTTCTTAATTGGCCAGCAAACTCTCCTGACCTTAACCCCATAGAAAATCTATGGGGTATTGTGAAGAAGAAGATGCAATACAACAGACCCAACAATTCAGAAGAGCTAAAAGCCACTATTAGAGCAACCTGGGCTATCATAACACCTGAGCAGTGCCACAGACTGATCGACTCCATGCCACGCCGCATTGCTGCAGTAATACAGGCCAAAGGAGGCCCAACTAAATACTGAGTGCTGTACATGCTCATACTTTTCATGTTCATACTTTTCAGTTGGCCAACATTTCTATAAATCCTTTGTTTTTATTGGTCTTCAGTAATATTCTAATTTTCTGATATGATGAATTTGAGATTTTCATTTGTTGTCATTTGTAATCATCAAAATTAAACAAAATAAACATCTGAAATATATGAGTTTGTATGTAATGTATGAATATAATATACAAGTTTCACTTTTTAAATGGAATTACTGAAATCAATCTACTTTTTCATGATATTCTAATTTTATGACCAGCACCTGTATCTCATGTTTTCAGGTTTGCCTCACAAACCCATAGGATGTATACTAAAGAAAATAATTGCATCAGAGAGGATGTGCAGAACAGCTCAGTTATCATGGATTCATAGAGGAGGAAACAGGGATGTTCTTATTTTATTTTTACTTATCTTATTCATTTATCCTTATTTTGGCCCATTAAATGTTTGAAAACTTAATTTCCATCACATCCACCAAAATGAAACATCCACAGAAATGTTGTCTTGTGTCATGGAGAGTTTTTTAAGAATCTACATTCTCCTAGAAGGTCTGAATTGTAAATTGTAAAAATCTAATAAGATAATGAATTAAGATTTTTCATCCTTAGCCTATTTCCAAATATTAATACACGGTGTAGTTTGCACGGGCTTTGATTGCACTGGTTCCTTTATCAGTGCCAGTATTACAGTAATAATAACTCATTTGTTTCCCATTATTTATTTTACTTGAGCTGCATGTAATTATGAATAAACCCAGTTGTGAAATTTTTTGTTTACAGTAGATGCAAGAATTTTAGTCTGATCAATACTTTTACTTCAATTCTCTGAAAATCACCAGAATATAGAAAATAATGTAAATTGTGGGGAAATGTTCCACATAACTACGGATCACTTATTGTTATTCAGCAACATTTGCTGCGCTTTAAAAAAACTTGACATTTTGCCTCTTAGTTTCAGTTAAATCCTCTGAAAACCTACAACCTATAGCTGCACCGTTCCTCAGAACCTTTCAATCTAACCCTGAATAGGGTTGCCTGTCCAAACTATTTCAAAATCTCACTCCAACGTTTGGTGAAAAGTTTGCAGCCCTGAAATACGTTTTGGAAGGAAGTGTCACTGTAGCCCCATCCTGGAAGCACGATCCGTACCATCAGCTCATTTGCACATGGAGGAGCTGAAGTTCTTTTTTTTACGTCCTTTTTATATTTCCTGCTCTGTACCTACCGGTTGCAGCGGGGGGCTGCTTCCGTGCATGTGGTGGGGTGCGGAGGGGCGACACGCCCCGGGGCGGAGTAGTTCTACTGGGGCTGCTGGGACTGTGCTGCTGCTTCAAGAAGGGGCTGTCCAAACGGCCTAGTGGTCAGGACGCCATACAGCGACCACACATGGTCCAACACGAGGACGCAGACAACAATACACGGACATAAAGCCACAGAACACAACAGACAGGTGTGACGAGACAAAAAGATGGCGGACAGGAAGGAGGAGACGTCACAGGTTTATCAGGGTGTGTTAGAACCCAGCAAGAAGGGAAATTAGAGGAGAAGTTAAAATCAGAAAGATGGTGAAGAAGAAGGTAGAAAAAAAGGAGAAAAAGAAAGAAAAGCAATTAGTGTAATTTGTAAAAAAGCTGACAGCAAGCAGTTAGGCAAAGCAGGAACGTTTGGCCGCTTCTTTAGAGAGATCAGTGTTTAATTCTACATGTTGGTGATCCGAGCCAACAAAGCATATCCCCTTTAGTGGAATAAAGCCTTCCCAGCATAGAGAAGAGGCTCCGCAACACTGCAGTTATAGAGAAGCAGAGATTGCTGATGGGTAGAACAGCTGCAAAGCTGGATCTGACTTTGCATCTCTATAAATCAGAATATCACAATGAACATGATTTATTTCTGTAATTCAGTTTACTGTCATTTTAAACAGTGATATATTTCAAATATTTCTTTAAGGTTTTTTTTTCATGTTGGAACCCAATAAACTACATGTTTATTACAATGGATTATAGTAAAGAAAACTCTCCAGATTTAGAATATCAAACTTGATCCATTTAAAAAGATTTATATACAGAAAAAGGTGCATACTAAAAAGCACACCTACAGTAAAGTTCGGTTGAGCCTCAGTTTGAAGTAATCACTGCATCACTGCAGCGTCACATGAAGACGACGTGCAGCTGAAATAATTGAAAAATAACTCACATTTATCTGATCTTAATGGAATCTTTTGGTTTGAGTAAAAAGGCGGGACATAAAGAGCAATAACTATGACAGCTGTTACTATGATTTATTTGTGAGTACAGAAAAAAATACAACACAGCTAAATGTTCGTCTAAAAAGGTGAAAAACACCTAAAAATCATTTTAATAACCTTGGAGGCAGCAACTGCAGCAAATTAGAGCTAAATCAGATGAAAAATATTTGATCAAAAGGTGCTTCTTTCACCTCATAAAAGGGAATCTGGTCTAATAAACCTTGATTTCCGTTCTACGACTCCTGCCAAACTGCTGATTATATTCAGAGTCAATGTAATGACCAAAAGCTGTGTGTCCAAAACTGAGCTTATAAAAGTGAGCCTGACTTTGATCAGCTCAGTTATCTATGCAAACGGCATCACTTGAACATTTTTTATATGTTTTTGGAGAGGTACCATTTTCTAGTTTCCAAGGATACCACCCATGAGGGGCGGAGCAACAACATCAGTCATCCATGGCACCTTTAAAGTGCTGTAAAATCAACATTTATGAAAAACTATTTTAGCGACTTGTTTTAAAAACATAAAAGCCTTTTTTCTTGAGGAATCTAGAAAACAATGGACTATATTTAATCTATTTTTATAAAATGCTAAAAATGACGGTCGGCCTCATGGTCTAGTACCTGGACAAATCCCCAGTTTAGGATTTCTAAACACGCTACCCTGTGAGTCTGATCCACATGGTCAGTAATTCTCTGCTGGGAGGTTGTGAAGTTCCTCCAATAAAAAAGACTTCTGCAATCATCTAATTTTGAATAAAACCATTATCTGCTCCCTTGTAGCTAAAAGGTCTTAGGTTCTAATCCTGACCTGAATCTCTATGTTAGTTTGCATGTTCTCCCTGTGCATGTGTAAGTTCTTCCCAGGTACTCCAACTTCTTCCCTCAGTCCATAATCATGAGATTCAGGTTCATTGGCTTCCCTGACTGTTGTTAGATAAAACTGCGTGCATGGTTGTGTGTCTGAGATACACCAAGGTGTCTCCCCCTCCTTTATAAACACAGGAGATATGATCCCTGTTGGGACTGAATTACTGAAATAAACTAACATTTGAGTGATATTCGGCCTCGATGGATATTAAAATCAGCAGCGAAAGAAAAGCAGAAGCTTTGTTTGCCTCAGCACTTTGTTAGAGGTTTAGAGACAAAAAAAAGTTTCAAAAAAAGTATCAAACTAGGGAATCTGAGAACAAAAAACGTGTAAATCACCCAAACAAACAGCGTTTACTTTTCACCATTTGTGTCCTCGGAGGAGGCAGGCTTTGTGGGGTTTTTATTTATTTATTTTCTCCCAAAATGAGAGAAAATCTCTTAAAAACAATTTGAGAAAATCCTGAAGAAGCCTCCATCAAGGCCTGTTTCAATGAATACAAGACGACCTCGCTTTATGGGGGGAAATATATATAAATGAAGGAGCCCAAAATGTCTACCTGTCCTGTGGATGGAGACGGGGGAGGTGTCGACGCTAATGGTCATTGCTCGCTCCTTCTGCTTGAAAAACTCTCGAGGGTTTCCAGATCGCTGGGCGATGATGGCCTTCGCTTCCTGGTAGATTAAACATTAAATAAATTACTTTTTTTTTTTTACAGCCAGGAAAAAAAAAACTGATGCATAATATTTCCATGGATACAAACAGCCTGCTAATAGTGTTCTATAGAAATCCAAGAGCTTTAAAGTACAGCAGTGAAGTTTGATTGGTTTTTGTTTTTTAGTTGCTTTAACATTTCATCTTCCTTTGATTAGATTTGCTGCTGTAATTTGCGAGCTCATGTTTTTCATCGAACTGACCTCTACCTCAGACTCCTTCTTGTCCAGGTTCAGGTCCTCGATGCTCGGCTCAGACGCCTAAAAAAGGACAAAAGAATCATGCAGATCTATTATCAAGTGAAATACAAAGACAAGGACATGTGCACACCACCACCAGTAGAGGGCAGCAGATAGCAAGGATTATTTTTAAGTGAAAAAAAACAGAATAATCCATAAAGGAATGAAAAGACAAAAGATTTGCCTCTGAAGCAACTCTTCAATAAATACGTCAGTAACGTATCCATGTTTGGGCAAAATTAATCATGTTTAAGAAACAAAGGAAATTGTTTATAACACAAATACATAAAACTTAATAAGGGTCAAAATAATAATCAGGTTTCAGTAAGAAATGTTTGATTTAAAATAAACAAAAAACAACATAAAAAAGGCAGAGCTCAGTTAGAATATTTACTGTTTATAGAAACTGTTTGGCAGATTTTCAATGTAAAATTTTCACCAGTACATTTGTTTTTTTTTTATTACTGGTATTATTCTTTCATATGCTTTTTAACTTTTGTTTGAAACACTTTATTAAAACTTTTTGGTTTATAATTTTTTTCAGAATATCTATCTTATTTTGTTATTGTTTATCTGTTGAGATATCTTCATAAACTGCAACAATCTCATTTTTTTTATCTATTCATACCATTAAAATAAAAGATTCTTACTTGTAAATTGTGATTTGATTCAGATTTTGTTTAATGCATATTTACATTTTTCACATTTGTTTAATCCAAACATTATACCACTAATTACTTTTTATATTGGATGACAGCAACTTTCAAGCCAAGATCAGACATGGGTTTGACATATTTAACACATCTTTCTATTTGAATGACCGAGACAAGCAGCGTCTGATCACATAGCAAACAAATACAGAAATTGATTTAAGTTATGCTTATAAACCTATGAAATTGTTTGGTTTAGCGGAAGGTTGGAACACTTACTATAGTGGTCTGGTTGCGCAGCCTCTCTCTGGCCTCCTCCTCCTCCTGCATCTTCTTCCTAAAAACACATCAGATAAAAACATATATAAATTAAAATACCTACAGATCGATGTAAAGATGATTCGTAGCTCATTTCTACACAGTTAAATTTGTAAAAGATATGTAAACAAAAAGGAAACTCCAAGTAAAAATACATTTTTTGATTCAGACCTTAAATGATGATGTGATGTCATGACTTGTGGGGAATTAGTTCAAAGTCCTGATTTTCTTAATTTCTAAAGATTTTCTCAGTGTTCGTCAGGAAGGTCTGATTAAATATTCCTTGAATCCTTTTAAAGCAATATTCCCTGATGTAGAGTTTTCTGGTTAGTATCTGTGTTTTAGAGAGGATGCTAGCTGGATGCCCACCTGTGCTCCTCGATCTGCCTCTCTCTCTCGCGGTACCTCCTCTCTCGGTTCTCCTGCTCCTGCCTTTCCAGCTCCATGCGCTCCTCTTCGAAGCGCTGACGCTCCTCCATGGCCTTCTTTCGCTCCTCCTCCTTCCTCATCTCCTCTTCGCGCTGGAGAGTCAAACAAATAGGATAAAAAAAACCCTGAATGCTAGATTGAGATCTAGGCTGATTTTTAATTGACGTGGGCGTTTTTTTTAGGCTGCGTTTGGGCTGGAGACAATAGAGCCGATCTGGCAACCCTGCTTACTTGCAGACTGTCAGTTCCATTAACTTCAAACATATGAGCTTCTATTTTTACCCCTTAATGTAAAAACCAATCTATTTGGCATTATGACTGACTGTTGCATTTTGATAAAAGTGAGGCAACATAAGGACAAAAAACTTTCAAGAGCATAAACAAACACAAATGCTTAAATAGGTTGGAAAATATTAGGTCAAATCTGTATTTCAAATCTCTGCTTCCAGAGTGCAAATGTTTTGGATAAAAAAAATCAAAATAAATGACCAGTATTATTAATTATTTTTAAAAAAGTTTTCTTTCATATTTATGACTTCAGAGTCTCTCTCTGTTTGTCTTGTTCATTTGAAGGGTAAATCTGTTGAACAACCGGCGGCTCGATGGTTTGTTCCGTCATTCTGTATTTCGTCTGAAGATGCCAGCAGCAAAACAGCCAGAATACTCAACAACAAATGAATTTGTTTTTCATCTCTTTTCAACACCAGCTTCACTGGGATTTACAAAAACCATTCTAGGTTCATCAGGCAAAATAAAACTAGAAAATCCACATCTACATAACCAGCAGCTGGTTTGCTCAACAAGGTTTTTAAATATGAACCTAATTTCCACAATTCTATAATTTTTTTTTTTACGATTTTTCTGAGTTTGTTTTGCACTTTGCAGTATTTAACCATTTTCAGTCTATTCTTCTTCAAAGGTGTGCAATGTTTTTCAATCTATTTAATTGTTCATTAACTTTTTTAGCATGATCACAGCACCTACCACATTTGAACTTTCACCTTTATAATTAAATTTGAGCTGGCTAATTTGAGCATATCAGCTTAACCTAGCAGCTACTGGTGAACACGTGGATTTTCTCTTATGCTGCGTTCACACCGGTTGCGTTCTGGGCATCAAAGCCTCTGGATTACGTGCAAAGTCTATGGGTGAAAGCATCGAGGTGTTGAGCGGCGCATTTTGAGTGTTCCTGCATCCGAGCTTTAGGGCATCTGAGCGTTCGACACCGGAGTTCAGCAAAGTGAACTTTTGCCACTGGACGCCGGAGCGTCAACCAATCAGAGCTGCGCCAGTAGTTTTTTGGGGGAGACAGACACTACTTGGAAGCTGTCACCGTTTCTGCAGATATTCTGCATATGAAAAATAAACAAAAATCTTGAGAGGTTAACTTCAATGGCTAAAAAAAAGCCAGAAGAATGTATTTCTATTTAAAAGGAACAGAGAGCGAGCTCTGATCATTATTGCTGCACTTAAACATTTTTTTTACTATGGTGAAAAAGTTTATAAATACCCAAATCAACTTGAAAGGTAAAACCTGCCGACAAAATATATTCGATTGGATGTTCTGATAGTTGTAGTGTTTACATAGCCTGATAAACCAGACTAAATGTAAGATTAAATGTGTAATTTAGTCTGGCCCCGATGAATGAGACATCAGAAGATTGTTGATGAGAACAACCCGTTGATTTTCAAACCACTGTCTGTGCCTATTGGCCAAAGCTCTGATCAATGAGCACAACTGACTGTGATGTAGTAAGCCTTTCAGGAAGCTGGTGAGGGACTGTAATAAAACAGCCTGTCTGTAAAACGGCGAATACGTCCTTCTTAAAAATGAATGAGCGTAGAGCCTCTTCCTGCTCACGTTTCAATGAAAACCCCAAGTCTAATCTTCCAAAACTGATTCCAAAGCTGAGTCAAACGAGAACGGTTCAATAGTTGTTGCCATTTTCCATTTTTGTGTTTTTTCCAGTGTCGTGCAGCTTTGTCGTCCTGCCATCAAAACCCCGCCCGCTTTGCATCCAAAAATCCAAAACACATCTCTGTGTTGTGATTGGCCAACCAGTTATAGGGCCTGGGGACTTGATCCAGGCTCATAATCCTGATGAACTGACTGCACAGAGGATAGCTGGAGGTGGACTTTCTCGCTTAAAAACGTATTAAAACTATTTATCCAACACATAAAGTAAATAAAGCGAAGCTGCTCTCCTTCTTTAAGCTACAGAACAGAGCAGATAAACAACCAAAGTGCTGAGAATCCAGAACAAAGCAACTTGACCACAGTTTGAATTAGTGTCTGAACCAGCATCCAAGTTTCTGCGTTTGTGCATCTTTGATACCTATAACGCATTTGGAGTGAACGCAGCATAAGTCACTGGCTTATTCATAAGTTTATCTCTAATTACACCAGGTTCAGCAGGGAACGTAATACATAGTTAACATATAATTAAAATTTTATGCTCTGGTTGTTTAGGCCAATCCTATTAGCTACTCGTAGCTCCTTTGATTTGCTTATCTTTGTATTTACCTACACTGCGGTTAATTTAACTATTTAACAAGATTTAGATCGTTATTTTATCAAATGTAGCACAAAAAATACATTTTTTCAGTCATGTTAACATTTTTAGGTATTTCCATCCTAATATCTTTACCTAAAACTAGTAATAGGCATGTCATTGTTTAATTACAGACCCTAATCCACATTAACTTTCAATAAAATTTGTTTTGCTGTTCAGAAAATACAAACAAAAGCAGTTGATGTAAATTACAATTTACTAAATGGCCTGTTTTTCTAATTATGTAGAGTGGTAATTAGCTCCTGTGCTTAGCTTTTAACCTACTGACAGATTTTTTTTTCTGTTACATTACAACTAATTGAGGATTTTATACTCCATTTAGGATCTTGACAGCAAATGTTCAATAAATAAATAATAAATGAATAGAATAACTAAAAAATTGTCCGACACAACCGTGATAGTAATTGCTCCGTCTGTTTAGGACACCTTTTTTATTGGCTTTCCATTACATTAACCAACTTAACACCTACTGTTGGAAAACAGTGACTCACTAACTGAGGGAAGTCAACTTATCTCAATAAAAGGGTTAAAAAAATAGCAATGGATCACTTTGCTTGCTCTTCATCATGCTGTAAGTGGGGACTGTCATACTGCTTCTCTTTATCATCAGCTAAAATACTTAGTTCCTCCGTTAGCTTTGCTTAACTGGGCCAAAATGGTCTCATCCAATGGACTGTGCAGTTTATGAATAGATTAGAAGAATATTTTTTAATGACCAATGTCTTACTGACTTAAAGTAAAATATGTCTACCAAATCTGGTCATCATTTACTTATTGGGGCAGTTTATTGTGTATTTGAGATTCAAAGGCATCTTTCACTAACAGGGGAAAAAATACCTTGCAATCAACTGACAAAGGACTTGATAAGTTAAGTATCCTTTAGTTAAACATGACTATACACCAAATCTTCAGCTAATTGCTCTTTGGGAACAACACTGTTTAGGTACTTGAAAAGCTGCTAAAAAAACTGTCTTTTTTCTTTTCTTTTCTTTTTTATATTATCAATTAGGCAAAAAAGGGGGGAAATTTCTGACAGAGTGGTTAAAGCGGTCCCAGATACATGGGAAGTGGGAGTGTTTAGTCCTGTTTTCAAAACTGGGGACAAAATGGAAAAACATATCTAAGGCAAATTAATATCTTACCTGCAGTCTCTAAAATTATGGAGAAATGGGTCGTGAAACAATTAACTCAACATCTTAATAGGAGTCATTAACCTCTACATCCGATGCCGTTTGGCTTTCACACCCATCACTCAACAGAGGACGCTATTAGTGTGTTTTCAGAAAAAACAAAAAGCTTTCTGGACAAGAATGCTTGTGTTGCTGCTGTATTTTGGGGTTTAAAGAAAGCCTTTGACAGTGTGACCACAATTCTTCTAACCAAATTATGTAATTTTAATTGTAAAATCGATTAAATCATATCTTACCAATAGAATGCAGTGTGTTGTGGTCAACAGTGACAAATCGCTGCACAGTGGGAGTACCCCTGGGCTCCATTCTAGGACCAGCTTCTTTTTCACCCTACATAAATGATCCTCCAGAAGCATGCAGAAACTCCCAGATACAAATGCGGCCGATGCTGTAATATAGACTCCAGCTAAAAATATAGAGGAAGCTGGCTGCATCCTTACATCTGAAATGACCCAAGTCCAAAATTGGCTCTAAAATCATGTCTCCTATTAAATACCAAAAAAGACCGTCTGTATGATTTTTTCTAGACAAAACAGAAAGCATACAGATTCACATGTATTTCTCAGAGATGTGGAGCTTTAACTGGTACAAGAATTCAAATACTTTGGAGTAGTTCTTGACTCTACTTTCACGTTTAAAGGTCACTTAAAAAAATCTCTAAAACAATTAAATTCAGTCTTCATATTTTCAGATATATTCATGCCTCAATTAAATTTCCAGAATCTAGGTTGTTTTTTTTCATGCCATGGTTTTCTCGCACATCGAATATTGTTTTACAGCCTGGTCTCTTACAAATGAAACCGCATTTAAACAAATAAAATCACTATATAAAAAATATTTAAACATAAAAAAAACAGAAAACAAAAAACACTAAACTGTTTCCTACCACCCTCGCCATAGTCTTGAGACTTACAATCTCCTCAACTTTGAGAATTTTAAATCCCCTAAATTTGCTTGCATGATTTATAAAGTACTCAATGGACTTGCACCACCGTCATTAAGGGAATTCATAAAACTGAAATCCTCTTCTGGCAAAGCCACTCAGAAGTACCCTTCAGATGGACCGCCTATGGCCAGACTGTACTTATAGTCAGGCGCTGTAACATCTGCAACAGCATCCCTCTCACTATCAGAACTCAGTTAAAAACCTGGTTACAATTAAATCAACAATGTGCTCATTAGACCTGACCCATCTCCTGGTGCATGACTCAGCTAAATGTCAGGATCGGGTGTTACCTTGTAAATATCTGTACATATTTATGCTAATGTCTGTTTGAACTGTATGACTTTCCCTTGTACGTATGTAGCCTCAATTTTTTACATTTTGTATGTTTATTTTATATTCTTTTATAGTTGTTGTTGGCATTACATACCTAGTTAAAAACTAGCTTCATAGCTAGTACTGACACATTTACAGAAATGTTCATTAATGTGTACTGTCACTGACGAACGAATAAATAAATAAATAAAATAAATAACAACCCTAAAGAGCCATTTATATATATTTTTTTTAAGTTTTGTTTTTTTGATAAGCCTGAATGATTCTTAAACCAGTAAAAATTATAAGGCAGAGAACAGAAGCATGGCTCTAAAGATATTACTAATTAAAACAACTTTAAAAAAAAAGAAACAACCTGTAATCAAATGACTGCTGGTTTCAGAGTTAGATTTAAGTCTTCTTGTATGTAAAAAAACAACAAATTCTACGAAAATTATATAAAATAAAAGCTCAAATTAACTGTAAGAAATATTGTAATTTTAAAAATAGTAATTTTAATGTAACAAACCATATATATTTGTTTAAATGAAGTTAGTATTAAACTCTTTCCCTGTAATTTCTCCTTTGTATTTTCCTCCTCCTCTTCTTGTTTTAGGTGCAGTGTGTACCTTGGCTTGTTCCCAAAACTCCTCTCTATTGATTTTCTTCATCTCCACCTCTGCATTAGTCTTCTGGTACACAGTGCCCTGCAACACAAGTCAAGCACAGATATATTTTTTTAGTTAACCATGTAATCAAGCAAAGTAAATCAACTTTAAATGTCTGTTTTTATCTTTAGCTCTTTATTATATAGAATGAACGCTGCCAACCCCTGCATTTATAGACACTGTTACAGTTTCCTTGCAAATTTGGGAACGGGTGCAGAGTAAGAAAGGAACAAAAATGGCTAAAAGTTTCTTTTTTACCACATCTGTGTGCTCTTCATCTCGGGTTTTCAGGCGACTCAGAACAGGGCTCGCCACCGCCGCTGTCCCGTTGGTGAGCCGTTGCCCGATGGCTGACGGGTCAATGTCTTCCAGGCTGCTGGCATTGACAGTGATCTCCACACCCTTGAAAAACAAAGATGAAAGAAGTTGGAAACAGATTAATTTAGTTATTTTTAAATAAACAAGCTGTTGGCTTTAACCATTTTGTTTGTTGTTTTACTCTTTTGTCATTTTCTTCCATATGTTAAAAAATATAAAAACGTTCTGCCTTTTGTAATGGCTATTCTAAATATTTTCTTCACATAATTATGAACTCAAATGTATAATTTAACAAAGAAGAGTCCCTAGTTTCATTTAATGTAATAATTTCATTTACTTTAAGATAGAATTAATTTTTGTGCATTTACTATTAAATTGATTCTTCATCTGAAGGTAAAGCCCACAAAGTAAAGACTGGATTTTATTTTAAAAAAAACAACCAAAAAAAAAACACGTATTGTTCAAATAGAGTAGGCCTATTCTCAACATAACAGCCACTTAGAAGGGCTAAGATGGTAAAGCTGACAATAAAAAAAGCTACCCAATTTAAAAGCAATTGAAATAGAAAATCTTTAAAGATACAACTTCACAAATAATGAAAGTCAATATAACAGCTTCTATGACTAATGCTACTTTCAGAACGCATGTGCAAGAGGCAGCAGAAGCAGCTAGATAACATGCAAAGTCAATGCTTGACGTGCATCAAGGGGCAGCAAAAGGTCCGGCAGCGCGTTTTGAGCAGCTAAAGCAGCACGTCATGAGATACTGAGCATCTGACAAACGCAACGCGCTGCTAAAGCAGCAGCTGCTGGAGTTGGAAGAATTTAAGTTTTGCTGCTTGACGCATCACATCAACCAATCAGAGAAGCTGATCTGGGAGCTGGCAGAGAGACAGACACAAAATGTCGGGAATATTCCCGACATTTTGAATTGAAAAAGTTTCCGGGATGGGAAGCGAAACTTCTTCAAACTTGGAAACCAAGTCCAGTGGATTGTTTTAAATTGTCTTTTATTGTAATGACTATAACCTGGATGAGTGAGAACCTGTTAAAGGGGATTCCCAGTGACAGCGCACCCTCAGAGTACAGAGTGGCGAAATAATACTTGAAGGCAGGATCGTAATCTGGCCCTCAATGGACAAATGACATTTTTTTGAGGACCAGAATGTTCACATTGTGGACAAAGAAAATAGGTGCTTTGAGAGGGGCGTTAAGGAAGCCATCTATGTTAACAGAGGGGGTGAACTCAGATTTCAGGTCTCAAAAACCTACAATTGAACAATTGAGCATAAGAGCTGCATAAGCCCATAATTTCTCAAGAAAGCTAATTTCTTTTAAAACTAATAGCTACTAAAGATACCACCTACTCAAAGCCATGCTAACATCGCTAATAAATGGTACTCAGGCAAACTGCAATTTGGAGTCAAGATAGCTGCTATTTTATTGACAGTTATCAAAGCTAATAGATGCTCAGTCCAGCAACTATTGAGTTAAGCTAACAGCTACTAATGCTAACAATTACTTAAGCTAACAAAATGCAAAGTTCATTAATTTACCATGATTAATACGCATAGACTATCACTGCACAATGGGACTACACTTACTATGGGCTATAATGGGGCTGGCATATCCTCTCAATAGGTGCGTTCCCATTAACCATCAAATTGTGCAAATTGTAATTACGAAAAACAAATTTCATGGTTTATCTAGGCCTGTTGGCTTAACAACAAAGAATTGCTTGGAAAACTGATGTGAAATAGATTTATGTTTAGCTTGCTCAAAAGTCGAGGTAATTTCAGGTGACACATGCCTGCTTATAATGGTTCCACATAACCCCGAGTCAGTAAAGAGAACATACCTTTGGTCAAATAATTACTTATGCTGTAAAAACCATCTGCTTTACAGTTGTCATCTGCAGTGATGCAACCACAGAAAACCTGATAGAGATGTCAGACAACAGCTAGAATGTGTTGTTTTAAATTATCATGGCTGTATCAGAGCTGATGACCGGCAATCAAATTATTCTTGGACTTTTTGGAGCTGCATGAAAGTAATCCAAGCTTCTGCAATGCCCTCTAGAGCGACAGAAATACAATATGGACGTCCCTAAAAGGGCTATTTAAAAACCCTGTTGGTGCGATGAAGTTGGCTCTGTGTGGGAGAGAAAGCTGCCACTTAGAGTAATGACACTCCAGCACACTCTGCTCAGCTGTTAGAAAAAAAATATATATAAATAAAACATCACCTCTGCTTTAATCTCCATCTTTTTATGTGCTTTATAAACCCTGAAATACAGTCAGCCAGGTGTGCAGGAGCGAAAACACTGCTTTGTATGATTCGCTCCACATCCACACGTCAGCTCTATGCTTTCAGCACCAAGAGATTATTTTAAAAAAGAGATGCAATTTATCACACACACTTGTTCCTCCTCTTTGATCCTCCTACAGGTTTTAATGTGATGAAGCTTTTTTTTTCCCCCACTGCCAATGGTTTGATGAAAACATTCAGGTTTTGTCCCACCTAACAGATATTTTGCAAAACCAAAATGTTCTACTTATCTATATAGAACATGTTTGGTGAGCAAAAAAACTCAGATTTTCCAAAGTAAATGTTTCTTTTTAAAAAGTCTTTGTATCATTCTGTGCATTGCCTCTGGCACTAACAAACTCTATGCAGTGACTTTCAAAAGTATTCATATCACTTTAACAGTTTTTTAGCATGTAAACACAAGCTTTAACATATTTTACAGCTATTTTGTTTTAACACAAAGGTGTTAATAACTGTAATAACTGTAATTGTTAGAATGGAAGATTTTAAAGGAAAGGTACATTTTTTGATATAGCAAAATTCAGTACAAAGACAATTCAAAGTGCTTTACATGATTTAAACAGTAAATTAGAGGAACAAATAAAAGCAGAATAAAAGCAAGTGAAGATGAAAACATTGTCAAAACAGGTAGAAAAGCAAATAAAACAATTGGACTTCAATCTTGATTAACAGTTTAACTTTCACATTTCTTAACAAATGGGCTTTTAACTTTGCCTTAAAAGAACTCAAGCTTTTAGCACTTTTACAGTTATCTGGAAGATTGTTCCAGATAAGCAGAGCATAGGAACTAAATGCTGCTTCTCCAAGGTTGTTTGACACACTGTCAGCAAATCTGTTATGTATTGAGGTGCTGATCCATTCAGTGATTTATAGCAGAAGCTAGCGGAAGGATTTTCAAGTCCATTTTCTGAGCTACAGGGAGCCTGTGAAAGGACTTCAGAACCGGGCTGATGTGCTCTACTTTCTTAGGTCTAGTGAAAACACGGGCAGCAGAGTTTTGGATCAGCTGCAGCTGTCTGATGGACTTTTTTAGGCAAACTATGAAGACACTATTGCACTAATTATTTCTACTAAAAATGAGTTTAAAATTAAGTTTTTCTAGATCCTGCTTGGGCATTAGTCCTTTATTCCTGGAAATATTCTTAAGCTGATAACGAGCTAACTTAGTAACTGCCATTATGTGCCTCTAAAGGTTCAGGATCAGAATTACTTATTTTCTTGCAGTGCACGCGTTTACAGACTAGAGATAAATAAAATTGTGAGTAAAAAATAAAATATACTATAAGAAGACAGAATAAAATAAGTAAAATTAGAACCCACACATTAAGAATAAAGCTACTTGTGTTATACAAAGGTTCTCACCTGAAAGAAGTCTGCAATGGTTGCAACGTGACTGGCACAAGCACACTTCCTGGCATCTGGAACATCTTCTCCCACCTGTCACAGAAACAAAACATAAGATTATGTTTATAACACAGAAAAGAAAGATTAGATAACACCTCGGAGGCAGTGTATGTTGGTCCTGAAGCAAATATGGAAATCTTTCAACCCCTAATAAGTAAGTAGCTAATTTAAACAACACTAAAGAAGATGCAAAGAGAGATAAACCTGGACAAAATGCATTCTAGATCACTTTTTATTGACTGATTATTGCAGAAAATCTGAGTCCCACTAATCCTTTGAACATGAACATACTTAACCACTTCTCAAAATAAAGGGAACATTCAAATAAACACATCTTAGATCTGAATGAATGAACACTCACTGAATACTTTGTTCTTTGTAAAGATGAATGAAATGTGGCGCATACTTATTCCCAGAGAGTTCAAATAAGAGATTAAATTGAAAAATACAAGCTTCCTCAGAGGACTGCCCCTTACATAATGTCGAATTTATATAACAAATAAGAATTTGACTGAAAAGCCAGAGAACTAGAAAATGCTGGTTGATAGTTGCTATGGTGATTTCCACCTCTAACAGGAAGTTGTCACATGTTTACAACCTAATGTCCAGAGGCTAGTTGTCCCATTAATTTGCCTTAGCCTGAACCCTTTTCTTTCTTCTCATATTTCCTGTCAATTAAGCATTTAATAAACCTGTCCAAACAATTCTACATGTTTGCAGTTTCCTTTTGGCGATATAGCAGTAGGTCCCTACTACAGTGGAAGGGGAAGTTATATTCAAGATATTTTTCACAGTCTGAGAAACTTCTCAGGAAACCTCTGATAAAATAATGGAAAACTTATATAATGTTAATGTAAATCCCAATGGTGAAATGCACTCTCTGCATTTAACCCATCCCCTGGGGGGCAGTCTGGGGTTGAGGGTCTTGCTCAAGGACCCAGAGTGGAAGAATGAGTGGGACTAGAACTCGGAACCTCCGGGACGCAATCGCAATGCTCTAACCACTAGGCCAACCTCACCTCTATATATATCATAAGACAAAGCATCAAACAATAGAAAGCACATTGGTGAAGTATGGAAAACAAAGCCTCCATTTTGGCCTGGACTCATTCGACTTTCCTTATCTAAGGCACACAGACCATTACTTCCTTAATTCTGAAACTTTATCAGGTACATCTATTTAAAATCTAGTTAATTGACAGAAATTCTGTGAATTTAGAAATCCAAACATTTAAATCCAGCTTCAGAATAAGGAAGAAAGAGTTTTTAGTTAACTTTGTAACTGGCTGCTCTGACTATTCCAGACAATCAGACTAATGATGAAAGGTCTGAGTGGCCACTGTGTGCAAGTGCTTCAGGCCTAATGTTCCAGCAGTCAAAGAGACACGCACCTCTTGGGGAATGAAGGCCGATAAAACATCATCAGATCAGTTCTATTGCTGAAGAAGTTAAGAATGACACCAGCGGCTGTCCAACAGTAGATCCATTTTTGGAAAGTTTATTCCATAAAATCTGAAATTTTGGACCTAAAAATAGGATCTGCCGTTTACTGACATGTACTTTTTCAAGGTCCTAAGTACAGTAGAAGGATAAGATTTTGGAAATCCTCTCTGAGAAACAACAGAAGACCATCAGTTGCTTTTTAACTGAGCACAGGAGTGTCATAATCAGAAAACATATACAGTTATTTTTCTAAATCATTTAATAATTCAGTTAGGATATACATTTTTTTCAAATTTAGTCTTTAGTTTCATTTTTAGTGACCACACTTAACAGCAGCTTGTTCCTCATTTGGTACTTTTGCTCATCTGGCTCTGTTCAGTTACTGAAATATTTTTCATAATGACAGACTGAAAATACTTCACTAATCACAACTCATTCATACCAATACAAAGCAAACTCAGTAAGCACCAATTAGACAGGAAAATAGGCTCATCTCATCTGCATTTACAACCGTTTATCTAAATTTCATCTCTTTCCAAGCTGCAATCAAGCAAAAATACAGCTGGAAAGTTTAATTTAGGAACTTTAATTCCTACTTTTTGGCCCGGTTCAGACCGGCTGAGCTCATTATAGTCCAGTCTGTTGCTCTTATGCCTGTTTCTGTTGTTTGATTATAAAAAAAAACACCAGTGGCTGTGATCCCAGCCTCTATTAAACACCAAATGTCTTCCTGTCTGACTCTTTCAATCACTATTTGCTGCATTAATGAATGGATCTCTGGGTGGAATTTTTCCACTCACCTCTGCAGCTTTGGTCCTGGGAACCGATTCAAAAAAACAGGTAGTAATTAAGCATGAGCTTTCTTTCTTTCACAGTCGTTCAGCACTCTGCCATTATGTACTTGCTAATCGAGCCCCTGCTGCTGTCAGGTTCACAAAGTAAAACATTCATCTTGAGGCTCTCAGATGGAGTCCGACTGTGTTCAAATGCTCTTAACGAGCTTTGTCGGAGACCCTCGATGAGAACGAATGAGCTTAACTTACTAATTATTAATTTATTTCTCCTTTATTCATCTATATTATGTATTTTCTTTTCCAAGTTACATTTGAGCTTGTTCTTTCAATTTTGTCTAATCTTTAAAGGCTAAATTAATCCACAATATCAGACATGTTTTCTCACATTTTCTCTCTTCTGGATCAAACTGTATACTTTCTGGATGTTTGGCATATTGTTCCCAATATTTCCATCAATCTATAACACATTCCAAAGTAGCATAGTAACTAGCAGATAATCCCCAAAAACAAAACCAGTTTTAGTCGTGGTTAATACAATAAACAAAGCGACAAAAAGACAAGCAACCTGCAGTACACATAATGTTTCCGGTTGTACAGTTTTGCTAAAGTAAATTCATGTTTTTTACAGTGGCTGAGGTCATATTTTTATCATTGTCAAGCCTCATCTGGCTCTAAAAGAAATCCCATCTGGATCATAAAATACAAATTTATTAATGAGCTTCACTGAATTCAATGCTTAGTGTTTCTGATTACCTGATCCTGTTCTGCCCCTCAACCACTGAGCCTGCCTGTTCCCGTCTGATTTGTTGCCTGACCTGTTTTTGGACTCTTGCTTGTCTGCTAAACAACCTTGGTGCTGTTTTCTGTCATCCACCTGGATTTCCCTTCGGAACCTCTTCGGACTTCTGGTCTCCTGGTTCTGAATCCTGAGCACCTCCTTGACACTGGCTTTACCTTCACCCTCTGGATTATCCTGCCCTCGTTTGTCTGCTCGGATCTGGTCTCCTGTTTGTTCCCCGTCCTCTGGGGCTGCAGCTTCTGGGACATTCTGGGTGGCGCCTGCTGCATCTTGTTGGCAGCCCACAAGCCCACTGATCACACCTCGTTCTTTGGACTTGGACTGAACTAGTAAGCCAGGTTAGTGACTGACATTCATAATCTTCCTCCCCCAGATTTATGTGGTCACTAATCTGTGTTTCCTTTCTGCAGAGGTTGCTGCGATAGTCGCCCTAGAAACTGCTACTGCAGATCCATAAATGCTTTTTGAATAACTGTCTCTCTTGCCTTGAATACTTGGTCCTCTGTTTTGAGCCGTGACAGATGCATTTTGTATTTATCAGCTCTTTATAAATGTTTTGTTTTAAGTTAAGGGGGCAGATAACATAAGATTGTTCTTCTTATTGGTCTTTTTCCTTCAGGAGATTACAATGCTTTGTGAATAATTATTTTGTTTGAACACAATTAATAAAATGTAATAAATGAAATAATGGTAAAAGGTATGAATAAAGCTATTCATTTGCTGTGCTTGTAGTGAAATAAAAATCTATAGTAGTTGCTGTAGCACCTATGATCTTGAGATGCCTCTTTATTACACTTTTTACTTTCCTTCCCTCTCCTTCTTTCTCTCCCCTGAAACAGCGACTCACCCAGTTGATGAGGATGTATCGTGGCAGGGCGGCAGTGGGCTCCTTCAGGCTGCAGAAGCCATACATCACTTTCCCGTGGTCGAAGGTCAAGGTGATCTCTGCCAGGCCTCCTCCTGTGGGCAGAGCAGGACATGTTTTACTGCTGAAAAACTAAGGGCTTTGGTCTTCCTAGCCTAACCTCATCAAAAAAGCCTGTTTGTGCTTTCTAACCCATGTCTAAGAATTAACCGCAATGTTTGTCTACAGCTCTTTATAAAAAAATCCCATTTTGAAGGAAAAAACCTAGAATGTGTGCAAGCCACAACTCTACAAGAGATTCTACAAACATGTGTAACAAAAAAACAAAAGAACTATGAGTTAGAACATTTAATTTTCCTTTTGGATCAATAAAGATTTTCTTAAGGGAATTGAATTCAAAATGTGCAACATAATGAAACAGAAAAAATAAAGATCTAAATACTTTAAAGTGCTTCTGCGTTGTCAGTATAGTACCTTGCAAGAAGCTGGCCGTGCTTCTTAAAAACACGTTACCTCTTTGGGATTTAAAGTGATTGTTCATAACAAAATTGTGCCAAATTGTGCAATTGGAAGTATTTGATATATAAAAACGGCATAAATACAACCGTTCTGAAAAAATCAATTACCAACAGATAAACTGAAAGGGTGGGCATGGGATTCATTATTCAGAGAAGCAGGCAGGAGGCCCATTGGACTTTCAAGGAGCTGCAAAGATCCACAGCCCACGTGGGAGAAAACCCTGAAAAGACAACTTTTAGACATTAATTTCAGAAATGCAGCCTTCATAGAAGAGTGGGAAGAAGACATCCTAAACTAGCCTTTTAGCTATCCTGCAGCAGGCTAAATGTGGTGTAAGCAGATGTTTGATCTTCCTGGTTTCGGTTCAGGTGGAGGAGTCCTGCTAAACGTTACAGTAGCATTTTGTTTACCAGGATCTCAACACCCCAGCCACAGACACAGTGTATAGCCACCAATCCTTACTGCAAATAAGAATAATGGGAGGAAAGCCCTTCCTACAGATGCTCTGATCAGACAGAGAGGCTCTATTGTGCAGCATAAACAAGGAGAGGCAAAGATTGGAGGAAAACTTTAGAGAACCCTCAAAGAATTCCTGTTTGCCCACATATAAGAGACCCAGAGCAAAAGGTAAAAGAGCATTAAAACCATAGCTGTGGTCTTCACTGGGGAATTTGTGATGCATTTTTTTTCCCTTCTTCATTTTCTTCTCTTTCCATTGTGTGTTTGGGTGCCGCCTGAAGATGTGTCTCATGAAGAATTGGTCTTTTCAGTTATAAATATGAAGACAAAACTAAAATCTTAGTAATCCGATGGCTTATTAAGACAGGAAAAGGGAAAATTTACAATTTATCCAATGAATTAAATGTAAAATTGTATAAAGATCGAAATTAATTAGTCTTTTAATTAGTTATGACTGCAATAATTCTATTAAGTTGGAATACATTTTAATAAAATTTGGCTTTACCTTAAAATGAAATATTTAAACTACAAACATGAATATTTACAGGTTTTCATTCATTTATTCATAGGATTTTTAACTATCTGAAAGCATCATGAAGCAAGCAGGAGGTTGTTCTAGATTAAAGTAATCAGAGCTGCCTTCAGTCTGGGACCGAAACAATTAATCGGATTAATCGTGATTAATTGATTATTTAAATAATCGTCCAATAATTAAAAGGAGACTGTAAAACATGCCTTTAGCTGACAGAGTAACACAATTAGAGCAGTAATTATATCAAACTTGTAAAACAATATGTAAACATTTTACATTTAAGATAGGGTTGCACGATATTGGGATTTTGGCCGATAATCCAATATGCCGATATTTTAAAACTCATGTAGCCGATAACCGATACCGATGTTAAAGCTGGACAAAAATAAGTAGTCATTGAAAATATCAGTTTTGTTATCCATTTCTGACACTTTGAAAAATAATATACTCAATTATATTTTCATATGCTGATATCAAATTGATTTTTAAAAACGCGGTATCGATCTATTTTACTTTCAAAATCTCGTGAAATTTCATTGTTCTGTTACAAAGTCTCGTGATATTTTGCAAATTCTTGTGAGATTTTGTTAGTAAAATACATTGATACTGCGTCAATATATCAACATGTAAAAATATGGCAAAATTTTGTGAATTTTCGGGGGATTTCGTAGCATAACGATGACATATAGCAATATTTCATTAGTAAAAGAGATTGATATGGTGTTTTTAAATGGCAATATATCAGCATATGAAGATATTGTGATATTTTAATATATCAATATTTTTTCCCTCGTCTTTAGAAGTTTTTAAGTCTGTAAAAAATAAGTTTTTGAGGAAGAAGTAGTAAATTATTATTTTTTTTTTTTTTGACTTTAGAAACTCAGAAGTTGATCAAATATCGGATTAGATATCGGTAGGGTGGCCGATGTCCGATATTCAGTTTTAAGGCCGATACAGGCCGATACCGATAGGGCGCCGATTATATTGTGCATCCCTAATTTAAGATTTTAAAAAAATGTCTGTCAATATGTTCAATTTAATTTAGTAAAAAACCTCCTTTAAGGAACCTTTGGCTATCAGATTATTAATCAGTTTACTGAAAAAATAATCAACAGATTAATCGATTTGCAAAATAATCACTAGTTTCTGCCCTACTTCAGCCACTCATGTGTTTGTGTCTTAGAGCATCTTACTGCAAACATAAGCTTCAGCACCGGCTGGGATTGTGTTTTCTCTCTCCTGGTGTTGAAGCCTTTAGTCCATATGTACATTCACTAATTTATGAGTAACCATTCACACAACACAAGCAGTGAAAACATGACATCATGCAGGAACACAGTGAATGTATATAAATCGAAACCAAAGAATCAGCGTTAATCTGTTATGGCCCACTGGGTCCATCATTAGCAGCCAGGATAAATGTCTCTTCGACATCTCAGAACCAATCAGGAGATGAAGAACCTGCAGAGCCCATTAGCTTTACAGCCTTGTGTCTAATTTCCATTAAAACAGTGATAGGTTCCTCCTGAGAAAACCCCAGCTGAGGTGAAATGTGTGAAGGAGATGGAGACACGTACCTCCGGATGCAGCCAGTGTCAGGTCATTAGTGTCATCCTCATAGGTGTACAAGGCCCTGCAGAAAACACAGAAAACTCGTTAGGAAAAGATCCTTTATTAGAAACACGGGAAATCACTGAGCAGGTCAAATAACAGATACAACTAGAGTCTACACAGGTATAGATTAATGTATGTGACTCGAACTTTAACCATTGTTCTTCATGCCGATACTGAAGACATATGCTCATAAACTGTGTCAGATGTTAGAATAAAACTGAACAAAAATGTGGTTTTATAAACCTTTTCTGAAATCCATCAGGAGGCAGAAATGAAGCCCGATTAAAGCCAAGAAACCAGGATTATTGACACTATTTAGACCACTTTGATCACATAAAGTTGTCAAATGCCCCATAGAAAAAAAAGCTTAGAGATCATTCCGGATGTCTATAAATTAATTTCAAATCTCCATTTTCTTAATATTGCTGCTCAGCATTTGTATTATTTTAACTTAAATGTTTTTCAGCTATCATAAATACATTTTCAGTCAAGCTGATAAATATTAGAACGGCCAATTAAAATATGTAAATATTTCTAGATATGTAAAACGTAATACTTACTAGTATCATTTTGTTTTTTTACTTTCTAAAATTCAGCTTTTGGTACAAAATTGTAATTAAGAAAATATATATAATATTACAGTTAGGTCTAGGAGTGATATTTTGATCAGGAAGAATCTTACTTTAGTGATCTACAAATGGAACAACAGAGGAGTACTTTAAATAAATGTAAAAACGGCCTGCCATAGCCACTTCATATAAACTTAGGCATTAACTTGAGCAACAACCTTCTCCGCCACCTTCTCCTTTTTAACCTTGTTTTTTTTTTTTGCATTAAGCTGCAAAGAGAAAAGCTCTATTGGTGCTGTAGATCTGTTATAATTAATCTAAATAAAGCAAAATAATTGTATCAAGACCTCACGGCCATGTGTCAGCGTATGAAAAACTTGTTAGAAAATATACTCTAATCTTATATAGTTCAGAGATTTACTAAGTTTAGACTTTATCTGCAAACTATTATTGGTACAATTATTACAAAAACCAAACTGTTCTCTCTTCTTTACACAGTTAAAAGCATTAAGCACAGATTACTTTACCATTTATTACATACTTTTCCATCATCTCTATGAGATACAAGAAAATGTCTTTTCTGAATATAATTTAGTAACACTGAAACCTGATGATGAGGCATATGGTGTTAAGCTGTGGCTTTGTGTAGATTTTCAACCCATTTTTTCTATAACTTTGATGAAATCTTGACTAAAATCTGTTTGGCTCTATTGCAATCATTACTGAAAACTGCAGATGGTCTATTCTTATTCAAAATAAGAATAACCAATTATTTTACTTCCTATTTACCCTAATTGTTCTCAGATTATTTTGCTAATTACTGCTGGCTCCTCCACTAACCTCTCCCTGCTGATATATTCTTGGTGAGAGCTTCTGTAAGAGTAAAGTTGGGTTTGTAGATGGCTTTTTGGCCTCTTCCCATTATTAAACTGTGTGATTCTGTGTGAGGATTATCAGTCAGGCTACAACCGCACGCTGTTTAAGCCTAAAGCTTTAGTTCGGTCAGACCCTGACTTCCCATCTGACCTCAGCTCACTTCCCTACATCCTGTTTCTGCACAGTCACTTTGTAGCTTTGTGTTTCTCCCTTTACTCTTTGATTATACCCTCAGCAAAACAGATCTCCCCCATAATAAGATAAGTTTACTCCTGTTACTGTAGGATAATGGAACAGACATCCTAAGGTCACCATAGGCACTCATTCTGGGCTTAAATTCATTAAACGAGAAAAATATACACCAGTTATTTGGATGGCACACTTGTCTGATTGAAGTTCTATTAATAAGCCGTGAAAGCAGAATATATAATAAACATGATTTACATTTTTAAGCAATAAATATTGAAACTTTAAACCAGTCATAATGACTGCTTTGTTTTTTTGATGTTAAATCTATTAGCATTTTTGCTTTTTCTTCAGGAAACCTTATATGTGAATTTAATGGCTATATATGCTCTCTTGACTGTTATTGTTAACTGCGTAGTTCTAATTAATTAAATATTCAATTACCTTAGCACCTAATGTTAAAATACTTCAGTAGTTATCTTAAACAATGGCATTCAGGCATTAACATAACCAACATGTTTGGTGGTTTTGCAGTGGTGTACCCTAGTCGGCCTCGGCAGATGGCTGCTCACACTGAGCCTGGTTCTGCTGGAGGTTTCTTCCTGTTAAAAGGGAGTTTTTCCTCTCCACTGTCGCTACAAGCATGCTTAGTGTGAGGGATTGTATTCCATTCAATGAGTCAATACAATCAACTGGTTTTTCGTAGATAGAAAACTTTGAATTAATCTGACTGTATGATCTGGTGAACTGTAAAGTGCCTTGAGATGACATGTGTTGTGAATTGGCGCTATATAAATAAACTGAATTTAATTAATCTGTTTTATATATCTGTTTAAATTGGTTAATCATGTCACCTTAACCAAAAAATATAATCTCATATATCAATGATAATATTAGTTAAAGTTGTTGATTCTAATTCTTCGAGTTACATTTTAGCCCGTTAGCTTTACCCCAAAGCTACAAGCCACTTTTTATAGAAATAATACAGAAACTGAGATCAAACAAATATACAAAACGCAAAAAAAATATTAAGAATAACTTGCAAAGCAATGAAATACATAATATTTAATTTATGATGCTTTATCGTTATTTTAGCTGTTTATTGAAATAACTTGGTACCTAAATTGGAGCATTTCCTTTAAACAACCATTATTTATGTTATTTGGTTTACAAAATCAGATTTTAGGCAGTAACTGGACCAAACTGCTATGTCTAAAGACTATTTAGGTGGTTTATGCAAAATTATTTGCCGCTTTTATTAATCTTTGTTACTTTACTGTTGGTTTCAACCATTATTCCCGTGGGAGTTTTAAATTACAATTTTGTGCTAATTACATATTTATCTCCAGAAGTACTCCCCCTCTCGCCCATTGACTGCTGGAGATAGGCACATGCACCCCTCGTGACCCCACTCGGGACAAGCGTGTAAGAAAATGGATTGATGGATGGATACATATTTAATCGTTAGCTTAACCTAATGTTTAACTTTCTAACATCACAAATAAAACTCAGTAGTTCAGATATGAGTAAGAACACTTAGAAATTAAACATTGTCAAAGCAGGGTTTTGTTACAAAAAAATTATCTACACCACCAAAATAACAAGTTTAGTTCTATGCTAATAGTGTTAGCTCAATATGAGCCTATTAGCTTCATTTTGCATTGGCTCACACCTTGTGTTGTGCTTTTAAGCAACAGCATCATAATCAAACAATCTAAAATCTACCTTAGGCCTACAGGTTTCAGAAGTTTAATAATCAATGTTTAAAATTAATTGTTTGAGTTATTTATACAAATTTATTCCCTACAAAACTAGCTAAACCTTAGCCATATATATTAGCTGGGCTAGCTAACTTCTGAATAAGACTAGTTTATGACTGAATTAGCCAGACTTAAAAAAAAAATATATATATATATATATATATATATATATATATATATATATATATATATATATATATATATATATATATATATATATATATATATATACACAGTGCATACAAGTTTGGCAGATATTTTCAATTTGGGGTAAAAAGGCACGCTCTATAATTTTGAACAATTATTGTGAAGAAAGAAAAAAAATAAACACAGGAGAACAACACCTGTCTTTGTCACAGCTAGCTGTTAGCATTATTGAAGGATCAAATTAAAACCAGTTTTTTGCAATCTTGCTTTAATATCAGGACTTCACTTGTAAATATTAGGTGTATTATATTCATATGCAGTTTAGATTGTTACATTATCACTTTTACAACCGTCACTAAAGAATCAGCAGCAACAGAGTCCCTAAAGCAGAGACAAACAGGCTGTTAGGAAATGCAAAGAGCACAGAGACAAAAGAACGAAGAGCTCAGCACACGGTAACAGAGGATGAGTGAGTCTAAGTCTATAAATAATTCTCTTTAAAGTAGACAGCTGTTTATTATTCATTTAAGTCTTTGTGACCTAGAAACTGCCCTAAGTGTGTTTGTCTGAAAGCAGCTGAGGAGAATGATGAGTGGAAGGAAGTGGGAAGGAGAGGACGTGCACTTCATGAGATGAGGGAAACGAAGGACGGTGACAAGGAAGGGAGAAAGAAAGAAGATGAGCTGAATAATCAAGACGGGATGGCTGAATTAATCAACTAATCAGAGCCGATCCAGAACATTTTCATCAGGGACACATCTCCATCACTGTGTGTCCAATCGGGGAAGAGCACATTTTTTGTCTTCAACATATCCCCAATTTATTTCTAATTCAGGAGTGGATAGTTTTTGAAAATACTAATTGCAGAAATTTTATAAAAATCCCACCTTTGCTTAATAAAACCACCTGTTTTGTGCATTCATGTCATCAAGATTGATACATACAATGCAGCAGACGAATAAACGGACAATTCAGCATTTCTCTGGGCGGTTACCATTAATCATTATCCCTGATCCATGTGCTGCAGCTCTTCATTCTGACTTTAAATTATTAGTCAGAAAGCCAACCTTAGTGCTGAATTAAGGAAAAAAAAAACATTTTGTCTGGCTGCAGAGAAACACTGCAGTTCAATAAAACTGTTGCCAAGACAAATCAGACCCCAACCAGTACACACAACTATCCCTACAGGGAGCGATACCATGGCAACAAGGCAGCATCCCCATCGATAACCCCCCCAAACTGTTATCTTGACAGCAGCATTCTGTGACCTAGGGGTGGGGGTTATGTAAAGACACAAGGAGAGCTGAAAGACGGTTGTGTAATGATTTATGGGTCTAACCTGAGTCAGAACCCTGATCTAAAGCACATCTTCCCATTCAGCTATAAGGATCCATGCTGAGGTGACCAATGATGATCTGAAGCAGCTTCAATCACCTCAGTACAGAAAGTACTTCATATAGAGTCTAACAAGGAAAAATCTT